ATCACTTTTGAATCAAAACTAAAGGTTTGCAGATGAAGCTTAGCAAGAATAGGCGATCTCTCAGGACCAAGATGAAGAGTGAGCCCAGGTCAATCTTGGGTAGAATAAAGTGCTAACCTGCAAAAATCTGGCTCTTAGGTTAAAGTAAATGTGGTTAAATCCAGTCATGAAATTTACACATTGCCTGCCTGAATAGTTTCAATCCAGAGTTCCTCTTGGTATTCCAACAGCTTTAAAGAATCACTGTGCTCTCTGCTGGTAATTCACTGTGGAAGAGGAGCACAGGGGGATCATGGTCCCAAATCAGTTATTTGCCAAAAAACCCTTAGCCTGTAGTAGAGAGTCTCTTTGTATTTTTGCCCCAGGTCATCTCAGAACACATGTCAAGACACTTACTCATCTGAGCCTATTTTTGCACATGTAATAGGATCAATTGGAATCTCAGGATAATCTCAGTGAATCAGATTAACAATCCATAAAATTCCTTCTGTACCAAATCTTTTAATAAAGCTGCTGTATTATAAGCAGTCAAGCTGCTAGACTTGAATTTAATCTCCCTCCCCAACTTTATTAGAAGTGCTAAGAGGAAGCAAAGGCTAACATTTGCCCCAAGACAAGAGAAGAGAAGAAATACTGAAGGAAAAAAAAAAAACATTAGAAAGTGAAAACATGACCACAGGAAGAGGCCAGGTGAGGAACGCTACGTTGTCACGCTCAGGAGCACCAAGACCCCTGAGTGTGGCAAAGGGGAGCACCGTCTGAGGGGGAGGCCAAGAGCAGGGAGGTGTGCAGGGGAAAAGGAGGAGCCCCGTCCCAAAACGAGGTGGAAACCTGGGTAAGACCATGCGTTTCTATAGTCTTTCCTTTCTCTCTGAAACTCAAAATGTTCAAAAACTGGGTTCCTAATCATTCTTCGTCAGTGACCCTTCTTTATTCCTATGTTTGTAATTATTTCAGGAAGTAAAACTGCTCTAGAATTTATACTTCCGTTCAGCGTCTAGTTCCATACTTAAGTTCTACAGCTTTAAATACACAAAGAATTTTCTCCATTTTAAGATCTATAGTACAGTGTGATATGATCATACTTCCTCACGTTGCTATTTACCAAACATTCCGGGTATACGGCGGGATGTGCTCCTGTCGTCTTGGGATTGGTGGAGCCACCTGGCTAGTTCTGGCCTATGAGTTGGGAGCAGAAGTGACATGGGTAACTTTATTTCCTGATTTAAGAACTTCCAGAGTTCTCTCTTCCCTCACTAGCATAAACAGCAATATTGCTCCTGTGCCTGCTCTGTCAGGCTGGAATCTTAAACTGAAAAAGATGTAGAGTAGAGGTGCAGGTGACCTGGAATTATCTTACTGTGGGAGCAAGAAATATATTTTTATTGAACTGTGAAAGCTTGGGGTCGTCTATGTGTGATGATTTGTTAACACAGCATAACCGAACCTATCCTGACTGATACAATCACATTTACGTGTGATGTAATTCTTGATACAAATACTTTAAAATTGCTTACACACGTTTGTACAAACAAATGAAGCAAACTTGACCCCAGAATAAAAGAGCAGTCTGGCCCAACCAAATTACAGTTCCCAATCAGAAATCAGAAAGGACTTCAAGCAGGGCTTTCTGGAATGACTCAGGCTTTGCAATGAGAATTAAAACTCTAGAGCCTTTAATACAGAGTTGAATGTTTTATTAAGCAAAATTTACACTTAAGGACCAGGAAAAGAATACTTTTCTGCTTGATCACTGGCAGTGTTCTAGCAGGTTTATCCAATGTTTGTAGCACAATAAAGATACATTGTGGAAACTGGGTAAAAGGTTAGAGGCAGATGTTTAATTGTAATAATTGAATGAACAATTACATGGCAGCTCTTTGGCAGATGACTTACAGTGAAATGAACTTCCATGTTAATTATTTTCAGTAGCTAGCTCTTGAGTATAAAAATGTGCTCAGTGTTGAAAATACAAATATGAGTAATATGCACTCCCTGGCATCTTGATGGGACCTGTCAATCAAATAATAGAGATAAGAAATGGACATGAAGCAGAAATATGTCAAATGCTCTAAAAGGTGCACACCCCATTCTGTGGCAGGATGGGTAGGGGTGGGGGGCACTGATCCAGTGGCTTTGATGCTATCTGATACTAACCCATGGAGGCAGCTGCTTGATTAGAAAACTGAGTGTCAGAGACTGGTTGGTAGTAAGAAGTGACTGAAGGACTAGGCAGAGCAGTTTGTTAGTTTGATAAAAAAAAACAACATTATGTTTGAGAAGCTCGTTTTCTTGCCATCCAATCTAAAGTCTAGCAGCTCTGTTTCGCCAACAACTTCACTGCTTCCAATGCTTTGGTGTGTCAATGTGCGGCTTAGGATTTAGCAAGAGTGCACAGGAGACACAAACCAGCAAACAATCCAGGCAAAAGCTAAAGTCTAGGTAGGAACATGTATATAAGCACAGGCTTACATCACAGTGTAAAAATAATCACATGGAAACAATGGTAAATATGTAATCAAAACCATGTCAGAAACAGAAAAAACCATAACTAAAGAACTATAAAAACAGGGGAAAATATCTGAAACTACATCTCAAAAATTGCTCTTTTAGACTATGGCATGCTATTTATTTGGCTCCGTAAAAATAGGGAACTCTCTTGCCTGGAACAACCCATTTTCAGCACATGCCACAAAAATTGGGCCCCTTCTTGTTGAACCATTTAAACTGAAGTAACACCTGGCTCATCGTTAGAGCTAGTAGATGTTTAGGGAAATTGGACAGAGATATCCATTTATAATTCTTCAATAAAGTACTCCCTCAATAAATGTAAATTTTATTTTTTAAAAACATGGTGTCAAAATATTTAAGAGAATGGCAATGAAAGTATGTTCCCTACAGAATTTGTCAAAGCTGACAATTCCATCCGTATCTACTGGATGGAAGCAAGATGTGCTTTTCTTAGAGTTTATACTAGGCCAGAAAAAAAAAGTGTTTTTATTTTAACCAGATGTGAACGAATTAAACCCAATATTTTCAAGTATTTTTAGTGCCTATGATGTCATCTGATTTTATATTTTCTACTAAGGGATAATGTGTATTGTTAAAATTGTGAAGCCACTTTCCATGTATGTACTTAAAGTCTTACATATGATAAATTACAATAAACAAATTACAACATTGCAGGACACACTCTTGGCTGTTTATGTCAAAAAGCAGAAAGAGAGAAATTTGGTTTCTCAGTAGAAAATGGAATTAAAAGCATGTGGGAATGTCTTCTTCTGGCCTTCCAGGTAGTCCTCATGCCAGTAACTATTGTACTTGTCCAAATGGGTCCAGGACAAGGATGGCTCTGGCCATGTTCTCCTAACTGTACAATTTCCCTCTTCTTGAAAAGCCAACAGAGAAGCCTGTGGACTCTACAGGCATTGTGTGCACCATTATGCTGGTCTTCCGGGGAACCACAGTTTTTAAACCACCAGGTCCTTCCAGGGTTGTATGTATTAAATATATTATGTATATTATTAGTATGTAAACTTTATTATATAAAAAGTTTATATATATGGAATTATTTTATATAGTACATATACTATTGGTAATATAGTCTCAATGACAGACTCACACAGGACAGACACCTGCATTGCCACTAAACCAGATACTGGCGAGTTTCTCAGGATTGTGGCGCCACTCTTGAGCACTGGCAAGGGGACGAGGGTGACCCTAAACAGAAAGAAGAGGACTTGCTTCCTCACACTTTGGTCTGGGCAGCATCGGGCAATCAGTCACACCCTGGAGCAGCAGAGTGGCCCTCCTGGCTTTGCTGATCGAACTTCTCCAAGTCTTCTCTCCTGGGAAAGAGATCTCTTAAAAACCATTTGAAGCTTTCCAAAGGGCAAAAGCCAGATGGTCGTGAGCCAGTGTTACCATAAATGCTTCCACTCTCCCTGATTTCATTTCGGAAATAAGGAAGGAAAGAGGCAGTCACCACCGCTGGCTTGCCTGTGCCTCATCCTGGAGCTCCTCCCCTCTCCCAATTAAGAAAAAGACGCTGAAAGTACCGTTAATAGGGCTGCAGGGCTGCTGGTGTATATTCATGTTGTGGAATTAGTGAGCCCTCATTTCAGACTCGTCTCTTCCATCCACCACCCACACCGGAGCAAAGACATTCTGGGCACAGCCCGTTGCCCTTCACTGCTGGGTGAAGTGCCCGCGGGTGGGCGAGCTCGGGGTGCGCAGGGAGGTCGGGCCGTCCACTCGCTGCCAACGCAGCGTCCCAACTCTGCCAAGGGCTTCGGAAGCAAGAGTTTCCCAGGACTGTGCCCACGTCCCGTCTCCGCCTCCCCGAGCCTCGTTTCCCGGTTGAGGCTGGAACTCTGGATGGTTTGGGGGCCAGTGAGCTGGCAGAGGTCGACGCGTGGATCACGGTGAGGGGCGACTGGGTTCCCGGGGGCGAGGGGGCGAAGCCGGGTGGCGGTGCGCTGAGAAAGGGGGAAGCGAGGGCAAAAGTGGGAGGGAGGAGAGGAGACCCAGCTGGGGGGCAGCAACGGCGGCGGAGGTAGCAGCGGAAGGTGACGAGGGCGGCAGGTTGGCGCACCAGACGCCGCGGGGACCCAGCGGGGTCGCTGTCAGTCAGGCCGAGGGGCCCCCCGGGCCGGGGCGCGGCGCGCGGGAGGGCGCGGCGGCCCCGAGCCCAGGCAGGGCGGCCGCGCCCCCGTGCCCGGCCCTGCGCCCGCGCCGCGCTCCGCGCCCCCCGGCCCGGCTCCCGGCGCGGCCGGCGGGGCGCCCCCTCCAGCGCGCGCTCGATGTGGGGCCGGGGGAGCGGCGCTGGCGGCCCGGCCGCATTGTGACGTAGCGGGGCCGCGGCAGCGCCTCCGCCGCCCGCGTGCCCGCTCCTGCCGCGGCCGTTCGTGCTCTCGCGGCCGCCGTCCGGCCGGCAGTCGGCCCGCGTCCCGCAGGCGCGCCTGGCGCCCCGGGTGAGTCCAGGTCCCGCGCGGGCTGCGCGGGGAGGCGAGGGCGGCGGCGCGGCTGAGCCTTTCCAAGTTCGCGCCGGGAGACCCAGGCGGGTGTCGCCCCAGCTCCGCCAGCTCGGACCCCTTTGTGCCGCGCGTCCCCGCTGCTTGGGCAGCGGCGGCGCCCTGCTGACGGGGTTTGGGGAGGGGTCTCTATAGTAACGGCGGCCGCGGCTGCGGAGCCGCCGCTCTGCTCCGGGGAAGCGGAGCAGCCCCTGCCTGGGTTTGCAAACGGTTGTGCTTTTCGTTTGTGCGTTTCGTGTGCTTATTCTCGCTGCCACCTCACATTGTACGGGAAGCAGGGATGGGCAGTGCCCCGGCTCCCCAGAGCTGAGATAACGGGGGCGAAGAAATAGAGCGCCAGTGCCAAGCAGCCCTCCTAGTAATGACCGCGAGACAGGCACGCCTGCGGTTGCTGGCGCCCAGGGGAGCCCCTGGCTCCTGCACCGCGGCTCCCGGCTGCCCAGCCCCGGCCCCCGCTGCCTGGCCCGGCGCTGTCCTGCGTCCCGGGCTCTCCGCGGCGGGGTGAGCCGGGAATGTGCCTCTCCCGGCCTTGCCTCGCGGCGATGACTTTCATCTGCAGGTGGTGAGACAAACTGGTATTTTTGCTATTGTCAAATGCCACGTTTTGTTTATTTCATTTTTACGAAAAGAAAAGAGGGAAGATTATGAGCCATTACTGGCAGCCATACAGTTTCCACAGGAAATACTAGCATTCTTTGAGGAACACGCTACTGCTTGCAGCGAAGAAAGTCTTGCGGAAACAAAAAGGCTGCAGCATTGTTGCTCATTTTCAATGGACCGCTAGGAGGGGGGAACGTGTTTTTTCCTGTGGGAACGTTGCTTTCCTTGGAAAAGTTAATTACGGAAGCATTACTGTTGGTGTCCGTTTTTCACTCCCTGGCGGCTGGGGCCCCCCTTCTCTTGACGATTACTGACATGTGCCTATCAAAGAGCCCAGAGGCGGCGGCGGAGAACCAATGCAGGACGGGCTCTCCACACACCACGTGCTGTGGAGCCCCGGCCAGGGCTAGTATGCAAAATGAAGTAAGGGCTGCCTGGGGAGGTTTCTGAGGATTGCATGTGTGGAGACTATGTCAGTTCGCCAAGGTGTCACTCTAAACACGTAATTTTCAAGCACCACGTTCCTTGCTGAATCTGCGGGAAGGCAAAGCCTATTTCTCTCATTATGGAGCAGACATCCCAGCTGGGAATGGGTTGACGTCTGTGTTTCATACTTACATATTGACATTTTAAAAGGCAAAGAGAGCAAAGTAGAGGAAAGCAGTATGCTAACATAATCACATCTAGGAGAGAATGTCTGTTGGCTATTTCTGATGTATCTCAATGTTAAATTACATTCAGTATGATTAGAGTATAAGGAAACACATTTAAGGTGTCCTTAAAACTATTTGAAAAAGGTGTGACACTTTGTTACCATTCTCTGAAGTCTCTCCAGAAGGTGGTATTAACTGAAGATTACCCATAACCATGTAGGAGTTCCCAGGTCTAGAATCGAAAAGAAAAAAATGGTGCTTGTATTAAGGACCATTGGACATCTTGGAAATAAAAGGTGAAAAATAATATGCATTATTCACAATAATATTATTTTTATTATAAACTTCATTTTCTCCATAGCAAGCATTTCATGATGAAAGGTTACAGGATAGTAGATTTAAGAAGATGCTGTGTTTATTGATTTGATATTTACCATGTGTTGATGTCCACAAGGAAATGACTAAAGCAGATGAATTTATCTGTCCATGTCACAGCTTTGCTAATTGCTGGCCCTTGTTCTGGCACAGGTGTACAGTGGAAAAGCAGAACAGAGGCCAAGAAACTTGGTCCATGCTGTGTTTTTGGAAGGAATCGCAGCAGCACTTTACTCCTCTTAAGAGGGAAACCCAAACATCGAATACAAACAAATGATCTTTGATATTATCAGAGAAAGCCTGGAGCCATTTTTCTTGCCAGATTTAAGGCATTTCTTGTCAAAAGAGGAAATCTCCCAAGAAGCAGGTGCATCATTACAAGAAACACAAGGGAGTTTCTCTTTTAAATGCAAAATCTAATTGAACAGCAACAAGAGAATCGGTGACATTCTTTGAACACAAGCCTTGTTTTTGGCAGTCTGTCAGGTTATGGTTGCAAACCATGTAGGAGAAATATGTGTCTTGGGAGAAAAATAATATCCTGGAGAAAATCAAACAGTTGCTTCTGTGAAACTAACCCATGTGTATTTGTTTCCTAGTTTTCCTTTGATTGATAGTAATTCACTTACAAGGAGTAATTTACTGAAAATGAATCAATAAACTGGTTACTAATATGCATACTATGCATGATTTTTCATCCTATGTAGGTGAGCTCACTGGATTTTATATTTTATGGTTGGCATCTTACAAGCTCTTTTTTTAAGCTTTTAAAATTGATGATCAAACTGTGTGTTGCAATGATGAACGTTAATTGATATGCCTCATGGCTGGCCCTGGAAAAGTACTGATGGATTGGTAAATAGTTATTGAGTATTCATTTTGTGGGATGTAAAAATAGAAAATGAGAGATATAAAAATTTAAATTGCACAGTCTTCACAAGGAACTTAGAAGGGAGGAAATAGGACACATGAAAAATTAAATAACAATAGAAAACACAAAAGAGTTTATTTTATGATGAGTGCCCAAGACACGAAATAGTGTTTGAAAAGGAATTCCACAGAGGAAGTGACCAAATCTGATTAGATGTTTTATCAGTTACCCACTACTGCCTACAAATCACCCCAAAATGTAGTTGCTGAAAATGGGTCGTAAAGCTCAGGATTCTGTGGTCATGGTCAGCACTCGAGCTGGATTCAGTGAGGTGGTTCTGCTGACCTGCACTGGGTCCCCTCAGGCATCTTCAGTCAGCTGGTACATTGGATGATGGCAGGAGACTCTAGAATGGCCTCCCTTAGTGTGGCCGATAGCAGGCTGTTGGCCAGGTGACTGGGACACGTGCCTCCCATTCTCCAACCTATTTGCCTGGACTTCTTTAGGTAATGGTCAGTGTTCCAAAAGCAGCCGAAAAGCAAATTCCAATTACAAGCAAGTTTAAGCCTCTGCTTGTTTTACACTTGCTACTCTCCCATTAGCCAAACCAAAGCACAGGTTCACCCCAGATTCAAGGAACGGAAAAAGACTCTATGCATGATGAGAGAGAGCTACAAAATGTTGTGGTCTTTTATTTTTTACAGTACAACATGTTTGAGGACCCTTGTTCTAGCAGATGTTTTCTGCTAAGGAAGAGCATATTGTAAGATAGGAGAGGTAGGTGAATCCTGCTTAGAGACAGCCTAGAATTTAGGGTGGGGAATTGGACCACAAGTCAGGGTCCTGTAGTCTTTGCTCTGTAAACCATGGGTAGAAGAGGAGTGACCCAAGGATACTGTGGGGAAAATGGAAGTTCCTATGGGTAGGATCCTCAACTTACCCCAAACTACTTGATGATATGGCCTGCTGCTAGGCTACTCCTTCCACACCCATAGGCAATGAGCTATTACTGACTAAGTCACTATATAGAGAGCTCTGCCCAGTGCTCTGGGCGGAGGCAGAGACAAAGGTGGGTTACAGACCTGCAGACTCCTGGATGCAGACGTGATTCCAGTGCTCCACCTACCACCAGGAGAATAAAGCAGGGTGTAAACCCTTTTACCCCAAGAACATTCCATTGTCATTTCTCAGTCTCACTGAATCGATAGTGAACCTTCCCAGGGCTGAAACCCTCAGGCAAGACAGGCACTAATTTCAGCCATATCAGTGATACTGGGGTTCTTGTTCACAAAGCCGAAGAATGAGCTTCACAAACACTCAAGGTAGAAGAGCAAGGTAGAGGCTTTTATTTAGAGATAAAGTGAGAGAATAGAGCTCCTGGCTCACGCCAGGAGGGGGCAAGAGAGCCGGTAGTGGTGCCTTATCTAGGGGTTTTATGGGCAGTTGAGGATTTTTAGGAAAGGGGATAAAGGGCTAGGGGTGCAGGCTTGTTGTAAGACCGCCTGCTCTGCCCCCAGGGTGGGCTGAGTTGTTGTCTGTTTGCTAGAGAGTGTTAAGTATCTTACTTCTTGATTTCTTGGGCTGTTTATAGTTGAGATTGCTTACCAAATTCGTCTTTTGCCTAGGTTGTAAATTAGTTGATTAGGATTAGAGAAGGAAAACCAGCACACAGGTAGTTAAAAATAAGCTAGGCCTTTTAGCAGGCTAAGCAAATTTTACAGTGTCATGATCTAATTGATACAGTGAAGTCATGACTTATGCTGAGATACCCTTCTTTATTTGTGGAACACTCAAACACTCCAGGCCAAGTTGCTCCTTGCCTTTTGGGCTTTAACTGATCTCACTGAAGATGCCTATATTCCTAGTCTGGTATCTTTACGCTAGAGAATTAGTGTGACTCTGTCTTTGCATAATGCTTAACACAGAGTTTCAATAGGGGCTTCTTTGTACATTGTTACATTATTTTGGCTGTAATTATTTTGCTTTGCATTTTTTCCTGAGGCCCTCACCCTACTCTGCCTAAACCCAAGGTCCTGTCCATCAGGCTAGTTTGGAGACAGTAGGCCAGTGGCAGAGTGAGCAGGCCATTGCTGAGACGTGAGGAAGACTGACAAGGTGGGGGGGGGTGCAGAGAAAAATGGAATGGAAGGGATCCATCTGGCTGATCCCTATTTAGAATTAGGTGACTGATTGTAGGGGGTTAGTGAAAGCCTAGAGTCAATATCATTCTGAGATTTTAAAAAGCTTGAGTGACTGAGAGAATGATCATGCTGTTGTGAGAAATAGAGAAATCGATAAGTGATTTATTTTGGGGGAGGAGAAAAGTTCAGTTCTGGAAAGGCTGATTAAAAGAGATAAATTGAATGTGATAAAGTACTTTATAAGCCACAGAGTATGCTATGCCTGTTAGCTATTGCTTAGTGTCTAAATGGCAGTGAGATGCATACAGTGAAGTTTCTCTCATTGTAAAGCAACAAGGAAACAAAATGAAATATGGAAGCCATCCTAGATGTCAAAGGGAAGTCAGATGAAGCACTGTGAGGATAGAAGCAGAACTACTGGGGCAGAGCAGGCTGGGAGGCAGGAACTGAGGGTTTTGCTTCCTGAGGCACAGCTGGAGATCTGCCCTTGGACTTGGCATATCAGGAAAAGAGAGCACTATTGGTCTACCTGGAGGCTCAAGCCCCCTACTGAGCCAGGAGCATTGATTGACAGCTCCCCTAAGACAGCACACAATGTAGAATAGGTATCTGCTTCCTCGAAGGATGTGGGAGCGCTGCCCTCAGGAGTGGGAGTGGACACAGGGGGCAAAACCAACGAATGCCCAGCAGAGAGGGACCCTTGGTTTATTTAGGCCCAACCACAGGAAAGTAGACGAGGAAGGAGCGGACAGTGCAGGTGTTGTCTTTACATAGAGATGCGGGTGCATTCATCGCTACTGCACCCACATTAGTGGTGGGGTTTTCTTAGGGCAGGAGAACGAAGAAGGAGGGTACCCAGCATAAGGCATCACTCAGGCTCCCCCATAAATGTCAGTGGATGTTTTATTAGACGGGAGAGGAA